GAGTCAGGGAGGGGTACATCCTGGGGCATACACACGCATTCACACAGCCAATTTGCAGTGCAGAATGAAGCACTGACCTGTCAGGCTGGCGGCCTCGGCAGACAGGAAGGCACTCCAAGACAGGAGGAAAAACAAGCCTGTTTCCAGCATAGGGAACTCACGCAGTTTGGTAAATTTGGTCAAGTGATGAAGACATGTTAAGGGAAACAACAAGTTGCTTTTACAGCTAAATCTCCTCCTTGGATGAGAAAATCAGATCTGGCTGTGACAGTTTTAGAGTAAGAGAACTGATTTTCAGACCTGACTGGGGAACTGTAACTCTCATGAGAATACTTTGAAGGCCAGCATGAGTTCTATGCTTCGCTGGGGGCGGAATGCCTTGGTAAAAATACAAACCTGTGTTCAGATAAAAAAAGGTGCTTTGCTAAGAGGATAAAATCAGCTTACTGTGGATACAAAAACCTCTTGAATTTGGCCTTAGGCCTTGGGGTGTGCCCCTCAGGAGACTGTAGCAAATCTAGGGAAACAAAGCAATGGAGAGTGTGGGTGGATGAGATGCTGCAAGTGCGTCAGTACCAAAGGAGGCCACTGCTCCCTGGGGAGTGCTAGTCTGTGGACACCTTGAACACTCTTTTCTCTTGGGGATGGAAATAAGATCAGGATGAGCATTTATGTTCAGCGACAAGGAAGCTGCCTGTGCCTTCTTGGTATAAACTGGATGGAGGAAAACGTATTATTTCTAGGTCAGGCAAGAAGCCCTTTGGCAGGCAATGGTTCATTTTGGCCAGGATGACACTTGGTCAATATCCTACAAACTGCAAATAGAGCACAGTCATAGTGATCCAAGTCATGCAGAGAATGGGTTAAGAAGAGATGATTAGGAGTATGTGTTCAATGGGAGAGAGTTACAGTGCAATTGTGTTCACAGGCTAAAAAAACATTGACAATTAAGATGAAATGTTGCATTTTTATGTTCCTAGGAAAAAAAAAAAACTTAAAGAATATTCCACACTGAGAAGTGTTTAGCGGCAGAGCAGGGAAGAAAAAACCTGACCCTTGGAGTGGACAATCCATGTCCAAGTCGTGGCTCTGCAAGACACTGACTGTGTGATTTCTGAGCAATATGTTAACCTCTCTGAGCCTCATTTCTATCCTATGTGAACTGTCGAGGAGAATAATACCTACTCACACAAATATGGAGAATGAAATGAGATGAAGTATATTAACAGTGTTTTGTAACATATTAGAAAACACAAAATGCCAGGAAGAGGCAAAATAATGTCATATTTGGGAGTGTGGCCTCTGGAAGCCAACTTTACCTGGGTTCAAATTTACTATATTTGAACATGTCCCTTGGCCACTCTATGCCTTGGTTTCTCTGTATGAAAATGGGGATAATAATTCAACCTACCTCCTAAGTGTATAAAGCAGTTACTATATGTTAAGATATCAGAAGAGTACCTGATATGCAACAAGGTCTATGTAAGTTTCTATTAGTGTAATTTAAGTTAATTTGTTTTGTAAAACATCTTTCCTGGAAATAGATTCAGTAAGGATATGGAAGTAGTTCTTTATCTGGAGGAAAACATGGGCTGCCCTTTGAACTTTTTTTGGCATCTCCTCTCAGAGGACAGGCTTTGTTTCTAGTGAGATTTATTCCTTCGAATTCCCTCTACTAGTTTGTTGTAGAGAAGGCTTAGGCCAATTTGAATAACAGGATGTCAAGTGGGCATAGGGCAGACTTTTATTTTGACCTCCTCCAGAAAGCAGTTCAGTTCTAGGTCAAGCCCCTAGCTTGTCCAGAGTCCAGGAGCCTAAACCTTGAGGAGCCTTTGCCTCATTATGGACGAGGTATGGAGATTATAACAATGGAGGAAATAATTGTGCACCTATCTCCTGTGCAGGCTGAGTTTGTAAGAGTCCTTCCCTTATAAACCCATTTACTTATGTGTCCATACATTCCCTTCACATCAGGCAGAGAAGAGTTCCAACTTCAGCTCTTCCACCCAGTGCAGCCTCTGGATCCAAAAAGCCTGGGTTTAGATTCTGGCCCTGACATATCCTAGCTATGTGGCCTTAGACAAGTTGTTTAACCTTTATGTGTCAGCTTTTTCAGCTGTAAACTTGGGAAGAGAACAGTATCTCCCTCCCTGTTCTCTCATAAAAACTACCTGAGATAATCCATTCAAAATACTAAAAACAATGGCTAGCACATGGCAGTGTTTTCAACAAATGTTAGATAATATCTTGTTTATTATTATTGATATGTGACCCAGAGTGAGCTACTTAACCTCCTTCAGTCCCAGTTTCCTGTGTAAAGTGAGCCTAATAATGGTTGATTCAAATGAGGAAATGAGGAAATACATATATATATATGTGTGTGTATATATATATATATATATATACACACACACATATGCATGCACCCTGGCATGTGCCATGTGCTGCATGTGCTGACATTCACTAAATGTTGTCATCATTACTATTACTCTACACATGTGACTTTCGTCATAATTCCACTTAATAATTGAAAGGCAATAGGGATTAATGATCAGGAATATGGTCTGTGTCTTGGTTTTACTCTCTGAATTTGAATCTTGGCTCCATTTACTAGCTGCATGACCTTGGGCAATAGCTTACCCTTTCTAAGCTTCATTGTACAATAAAAATAGTGTCATTGTGATATGATTATTGTGAGGGTCAAACAAAGTATCATGTATAAAACAAATATAAGGGTCCTGACATATCATAAGTACTGGGTAGATTATTAATTATAATTTTTGTTAGAAATCAGCACTATCTTTTCTGACTTACTTTATCTCTATCAATGGAGTTGACATTCTCCAGGATTTCCAGGACACAACTTTGGAGTGAACTTAAATTCTCTCCCCTTTTTTATCCTGTATAAGCAACCAACCACTAAGTTCTAGAGATTATTTAAAACGATGTTCTCTTTCCTGATGTTTCCCTCATGGTTTATTATCATGCTTTCTCTTGATTCTAATCTTCCTCCTCTGATTCATCCTACAAACCAATTACTCATTTATGTTTTAAAAGCAAGACTTTGAGTATGTCACTAACCTGAGCAAAAGCTCCTTTGAGTAACACTCCAAGATACTCCACAAGCTCCCTCCACCCCATTTGTGCCCCTTCATTTTCCATTGCTCTCACCAGTCCAAACCCTTTGGTCCTCTCAGGTACATCTGCTATGTGCCATCTCTGTCCCATCCCCACTTCTTAATGAATGCTGGTCTTCTCTTGAATCACTTATCCTATAGCCTTTGCCTATATTCTACCTATCTTTTAGGCCAAGCCCAAGTCCAACTCTGCATATAAATACTGCTTTTCAAATTATTTTTCAGAATTATAAGATTGGCCAAGAATCTATTGGACTATTCCAGACACAGTGTCCTCATGCTCATTTCAATTATTATAGTCCTAATAATTTGGCTATGGCTTTGGAACTCACTTTCAATGAAGCTATTATGTAAAGCTTGTCTTTCCAAGCTTGTCACTAGTTGAAGGCAGGGTCCATGTTTTATTCATATTGTGATGTCTTAGAAACTCTTAGAAGAACCTAGACTTTTAGCAGCTCCTCAGTGAATTGCTGGGTCAGTCTCAAAAAAAGACCCCAACACTTTCTTTTTCTTTGCATGGTGTCCAGGCCCCTCTTGCACCTTTCTTCCTTCACTTTTCCTCAAGGTCTTTAGTTTTTCGTCTTGTGCCCTTCCTCTTCTCTGTGGCCTTCATTAAACTCTCCCACTAGACAGTGGCCTTCTGGCTTCCTCCTTAACTCCGACTTATTTTTGCACTATCCAGCTGCTCTAAGTGAGCATCCCACCAGATCTGCTGAATTTCTTGGCTCAAACCTCTAAGAACTCTGCCTATTTTTCCACCTCTCTGCTGAAAAAAAAAAAAAAAAAAGGAATTAAGTGACACAATTGCCCATCATTTCTGTCTTGCTTGCATGTTCCCTTATATGAAATAGTTATGGATGCTTGTTTAAACTCACAGTGATTTTTGGCAGGCCAACACTGTGAGCTAGTGATTGATACAAGTTTGAAAAAGGGACAGAGAATACTTAGTTTATCACTTTCAGTCAATCCTATCTTGCTCTTAACCTTGAATCTTCAGTTCTTTCCCTTGATACTAATAGAGCCAACCCTGATGTCCCCTGCTCACCTATTTTTAAGACAGTTGATATCCGAGGATCAGACAATATCATTAGTGTTAAAACTGACCTTGGACAAGAAAAGGGCATGGGACACTCTGCCACTGGTACCAACCTATGACTTGCAGATGACTCAGATGGCCTCAGTGGCTCTGTGTCATACTTGAACCAGACTATCTAGCCATTTTCAGACCTTGAAGTTGTCCATTTTCAGAAACATTTCAAAGACACTGACAGCTCTCAAAAGTTCCCAGCTTTCCACATACAGACAAAGGATATTAGTGCTGTGACAACAGCATATGCAGATCCCATTGCAAATGAGCCAGCGAAGATCCCCAGGAAATTCCCCACAGACTGGAAGAATGCTGCAGCATCAAATGCATTTGGATTCTCCTTGGGACTGTAAATGGATATAGAACTGAAAAGAGAAGAGGGCGAAAGTTAGTTAGAGACTCTCATCTTATAGCCCAAATAGTAGAAGTCAGAATTTAGCACCCACTTTTGGGAAGGTCACCTTCTTTTATAAGGTTAGGTGCCAGTTTGAAAAATTCCAGGGAAACAGATGAGGACAGGGAGAGGTGGAGAAAGCAAAAAGCTTTCGCCTTCCTTATAGCCCCATCTCATAATATCTATATATTGTTGCCAGTCAATAAACATTTTTATATTGGAAGGGTCATAAAGAATATTGTTCCCGAGCAAACTAGGCATTAAAACATGGTAGATGTATAAGGAATTTGCTGAGGAGATAGATAACTGTGAATTATTTAGTGGCTATATGTCTTCAGTGCTGTTATATATTCACAAATGTTCCTGATAAACAGTGCACTTTTATGGCCTGTGCTCAAATGGGTGATACAAATCACAGCGTGCACAAAATATTCTGCTGTGATCTTGTCATAAACCACAAAGCATTCCTCCTCTCCAGTGTAACCCTTCAGAAACAGAGCTCAGACAAGAGCATCACAGGATTAACCCCTGGGGAGAGACAAAACCCTCATTTTCCCACCGAAACAAATGGCAGCAGCTGCCTGAGGTCATCTTTTATACTCCATTTTAGTGGCTGCCAGTAGATTTATTTCCATAGAGAAAAATCAATCCACCAATAGGCAGTCTGTTCACTAAAATATTTTTGAGGATGTCATATTTGCTTTATTTTTTTTTTAACCGGGACCTCACATTCCAGAGTGTTAATGTGAAGGACAGGTATGTCCTATTTTAGGAAATATGAACTCCATATTGTAGCATTAAAATGAACAGATGTGCTAGAACCAGTAGTTTGGGGAGCTTGAAGAAGTAACATTTCAGATTTTTTTTGTAGTTTTAATTTTGATAAAAATTCTTTAAAACTAATTATAAAAAAATCAAGTTTCTCAGTGGATTCTCAAAGAGAACTTGTAGCAGTGTAGAGAGCAAAAAGTACACTAGACTCAATGATTTGAGATTAGATTGGATTTTACAGAGATGTAACTGACTCTTTAATGGCTTGGATGATTACAGCATGTAAACTCTCTGACCTTTTTGTTGTCTGGAGACTAATTAAGAGAGAATGGGGGAATAGATTCCAATTCTCCTACAGGAAGATGCATAGCATAAAAATGGCAGTTTTAAATGTTCCTAGTTTTTCCCTAGATGTTTTTAAATCTGCAAAGTAGGCCAAACATTTCTGCTTTGATCATGTAATTGGATAAGGAAGATAAATGTGGATCTTGAATGGAGTCCTGAAATTTATGCGAGAAAAGGATTGTCTTTGAAGTGTTTTTCTTTTTGTAAAGTGTTGTGTTTTGCAGGAAAAAAAAGAAAAAGAAAATTTATATTTGGGTCCTTTGTATCTGACAGTCCTAGGAAAGGGTGTGAAACCTTATGGCCATTATGAAACTTGGTGCCCAAGGCTGCAAAGCTAGATGTGTGAGTTGACATTCACCAGCATATTTTTTCATTCCAATGAGGAAACAACAGTGATAAGAAAATGCTGCATTTGCATTCCACCTTTCAAATAAAAGTTTTTGCATAGTAACCCAGTTTATTGAATAATTCTGTTAATGCCTGAGGACGCTCGCAGCAGATCTGACCCCCTAGAATAGGTAGGTCTTTGCCCTCATCTCTACCTCCCCAAAAGCATTTTTTCTGTCCTTGTGCTTCTGGAGCTCGGAGTATCCCCATCGCATCATTTGACTATACCCTGTATCATTACTTACATAATGTTTTTCTTTAAATCAACTCATTTTTATTCAAATACAAGAAGTTTTATTAAAGAGTATGTATGAAATCATAGGTTTAATATGCTAATTACATATTTCTCGTTAATAAATATACGATTATATAATTATTAAATTTGAAAAAAAAAGTTCACCTGTGTGTCACCTAAAATCATTTGGGTTTCTCCACTGGTTCACAGTCTGCATTTTGGGAGATGTTGTTCTCTTCTTGGACTCTGAACCCCATCCAACAGGGTACAGCCAACCTATATACCTTCCTTGTGATATCTGACTTAACTGAAGGAGGAAACTTAATTCTCGACCTATAGAGACTTGTCCATTGAATTTTTAGCCCTAAAGCTCTTTAAGAGGTATGTACCGGATGACTGCTATGTGCCAGGTGCTGCAGGGCATTGGGGGTGGGCAGCAAAGGGCATAGAGAAGTGAAGCAGAATTTGAGTCAGAATTTTATTGAACATATACAAGGCCTATCTAGGCAGAATAGTTTAATAGATGACAACTAGCTCTGGTTGTGGTGCCGAGTGTGATTTTGTGAGAGATACACAACTTTTAATGGTGCAAATGAGGAAAGGGTCACTATTTTAGATTAGAGGAGATGACATTTGAGCAAGGAAGCAAGTCAACAGACAATGATGGGGAGAAGGTATTCCAGGTAGTGTAATGAGTGTAACCAAAGGTAAGAAGGCAGGTGAGTTGAGGGCACCTCAAAGCAGAACTATATAGTTATAGCTAGAACCTGGGGAGTATATATGTAGTCACCTGTGTTGAGGAAAGGTGGGCAGGTGTTATCACTCAGAGCTTTAAATTCTACATTAAGAATGTATAAAAGCTCTATTTAGTTTGGTTATGCCTTATTATAACTTTATTTGATCCTATAGCACCTCTGTCAGGTAAACAAGGCAGGCATTATTATCCCTCCTTTTCCTTCTTTTTTCTTTTTTTATGGAATTAAAAAAAAAATTAAAGATCAGAGAAATGAGATAATACAGTTATTTAAGTTCAAAATGTAGTTTATTATTTCTGCCTTTAAAAAAATGGTCTTGTACGGAGGAAAACATGAACACACATCAGGATAGTTGAGTGAATGTCACATTGACTATAAGGGCAATATGAGTTCAGGTAGCAGAACCTTTAATTTCGTGCCTGGATAGAATGTGGACAGCACATTTCCTGTGTGCAGGGAGAGAGCAAAGTACGCTGTACAGGGCAACATTCCTCTCAACCATTTGACCAGCCCGCGAGACTCAGAGCTACTCGTGGAAACCTTCTTTCACGTCTGGCTTCTACTCCCAGAACTTAAGCTTTGCTGGGCCTCGCTTGGGTCTTGTTCCTCCTAGTATGCTTAGGACACAGCCTGGTGCCTGGCCTGTAGCAGCCTGTATAAAGGGTGATGGAATGAAGGTAAGACAACTAGAAAGCAGAAAAGAGAGAAGAAAAAAGTACAGAAAGGAAAGAGGCTTGCTTGTAAAAGCTAGTTGTTTCTTAAAATGAATCATCACCTATTAGATTTTTTTATTAAGCATTGACTATATGTAGTCATGTTGTGGGTACTTTTAGGGTCTAAGCTTTTGCGACACTTGTGAATCTTAAACTTGAGCCTCAGAGGTCTGATCCTTATTGGCTATATAGCCTTGGGCAAATTACTTCATCACACACAGACTAAGTTTCAAAGTTTGTAAAATAGAGATAATAATAGTATTTATCCCCCAGAAATGTGTAAGGATATGAGATATATTTAAAACCTATACAATTATCTTGTGAATTGTAGGGCCGTTCGCTGAATGTTGATTATGTGCTCAAAAAATAAACACTCACTGAATGCTATCATCATCATCATCATCATCATCATCATCATCATCATCATCATCATCATTGTGCTAAGAACTTCCAGAGAGCAGAGTGTTGTGCCTGAATTAGGCCTTAGTTCTAACCATAGGCAGATGGGGTATGGCTCCCCTCCTGACATACCACACTCCAGGTTACTACAGAGGAACTAGTCACTTTTGCGTGGGAACAGAAGGGTCTCCAGGGAGGAAATGGCCCTATAAGTGAGACTAAAAAGTTGTCATGTTTACATGGAGTTCTTGGCTCCACGGACCAAAGAGGGAAGGCAGGCCCTCAACGGCCTAGGCAGAGATCTGCCCGAGGACAAGAACAAGTCAGGAGTCTGAGCTTAAAGTGCATCTCCCCAAGTTAAAGGGGCCAATCTGCAGGCAAAACCCTTTGGTTTCTGGTGAGCAGTGAGGCAAAGAAAGCAGGAACCTTATGGCCCAAGGAGGTTGCATTTCTCCTGACTCCCCATATCTCAGAAGGTGGTTCTCTTGGATCTAACACCTGGCAAAGGAGGTATCTCCCTGGGCTCTGATTTTCAGCTGCAGCACTAAGCCTCCACTTTGTGGAGCAACAGCTGCAGAGGATTGTCCAAAACAACAAAGGTTTTGGATAGTATGTGTAGAGTTTTCCACCTTCAACCCAAGAAAGGAAGGAGTATCATGTTTCAGCAGTTTCAGCCCTTTGGGCTTAAAAAGGAAACATCTCCTACCCTGACTGAGGGAAATGCTTGAACTATTAGTAGATACAAATACTAGAGAGGAGGAAAAGAGGAAGCAGAGTTTCTGCTACTTTGTGTGGTACTTGTTCTTTGCGACTCCACTCTGAAGAGTTCAAGCTGGTTAAGAAGGATCTACAATCTCAAGTTTCTGGGAAAGAATATTTTAGTTGGATGGTACTAATATCCTTAAAAATGACATGACCAGAAATAGTGCTATTTAAATATTCATCTCATAAATTGGAAACAAGTCCAGTTATTGATTCATTCTATTCAGGAACAGATTATTCAGCAAAAACTAGTTTGATAATTGTATATTGTATCCATTCTCAGAAATAAATGTGTGTAGCATCTTTTATTCAAAAAATTTGAAATGGATGAAATATTATAAATTCCTTTGATGAGAGCAACACAAATAAGGATCCCGATACTCACTGTATCATTTAAGCTACACAGATAGAATCACAACTCCCATGTTTCTCAACAACCCATCTTTTTATCTTTATGATGTTCCTGCCGGGAACATGCCTGGCAGCTTAGGTAGCATTAGGAGCATAGAATCTGAATCTGAATCTGAGATCTGAGTGCAAATCTCAGCTATGCCACATACTGGCTGTGTGACCTTGAGCAAATTACTTAAACCATATGCACCTC